AGTGGTATTTTGCTTCATAAATACATTCATTCCTGGGCTGTACACTCATGAATAAAGCAGACAGAGATTGTTGCCCATCTTTGCAGCTCTGTAGCGTTGACTCTCTTCCTACTGCAGACCTGATATACAATTCCAGATTCTGCCTCGTTTTAACTGATCAACTTTGTAGCTTTGCTTTTTAAAATAGGGTTTCATGGTCACTCGTTGCACTGTCTCCAGTAATGCAGTCCTCCAGACTCTCCAACACATTTATTCCCCCTTTTCTTCTAGTGAAGTACGAGAGTCCTTACCACTTACCAGTTCCTAGCTCTTGGGGTGGTGGACCATGGAAGTCCTCCTAAGTGATGAATCATACCACTCAGTTGAGAATTGGGTGATGGCATTCTGCAGGTATCACTGGTATAGAGCTGTAATGTGTCGTTTTTTTTGTCTATATATCTGACAGATGTTTTCTATTGTGTGATGCCCTTCCTACTGTGGAACTGATGACCAATTCCAGGTGCTGCCATGTTTTGGTTGAAGCACTCTGTCATGTCTTACATACATATATATCAATATCACATATCAATCATTGCAGTTTGCTTCTTAGGCTGAGACGTTCCTCCTTCCCAATATCCTCTGAACATACATTCCCAGTGGGTCCAGTGTTGGTTGGAGATGGTCCAGTTCAGTAAATCCCTCACATATGTTCAGGCTAGTTTCCCTCCTCCTACCACGGACTGGATGACAAATGCCTTCTGCTGCTAGGTTTTTGGATTGGAGATGTACCCCAGCTTTTCAGTTCCTCTTCCTACTGTCAGCTGGATGTTGGTTCCCGAGAGATCTGGTATTGGTTGTAGCTGGATGCAGCATATATTTTCCTGCTTTTTGTGGCCAAATTCCTTCTACCACAGACCAGAAGTACTGTACCTGTTGCCTTCAGGTGTTGTACCAGAGATATCATCCTGGTGGGGTTTTCCACCTTCCTACTGTCAGGGATTTAAATATGAGTGGGCTGAGGATTCTTGTACAGTATATAAGGTTGGTCAATTTGACTGACCTTGTAACCACCAAAAACAAAAATTGAAATAAATCTAAATTATACCCTTTTTCTTTCTAGAATGACTTCAAATTGTAACATGAAACTACATTCATTTAACCTAAGTAACTTTAAACTGGTAATAGTATACATCTATTTTCAATTACATTTTATTTGAACCATGTCTAACTACTATTTTCACCATTATAAGTTGTAAATTACTTGGGGAACATGCAGCTCATGTTACACTATTGAATTACTTTACCCATGAGCTGCTCTTGTGTGTGTCTCATTATCATTTTTATATTTTTATTATTTGTTTTACCTAATGTAACCTTAACTAACATGAAGAGATCCATATTTTACATTTGAATTACTTTTATAATAATAATAAATAAAGAATAAATGTGAAAAACAAGAAATATAGTACTTACCTGTTTTTTTTTTATTTTTTACTGTAGACTGTCGATGACACTTAACCCTACTTTTTTATACTAATGGTAATAATGCACAAAATTTTTATTTAATTAAATAATGCACCAAAGAACATAGAATAATAACATACAAAAAAGAGACAATTTCTTCTAACTATCACATTTTTTGTGGCTTTCTAACTATGCAACAAGAGTCATTACAAATTCATCCAAGCTAGTTGTTATCTTTCCCATGGAAACAAAGCTTGTACTAAAATAGAAATTGAAAATTCTCTATTCAGAACACAACATAATATGATACGTCATTTGATAGATTAAAACCTTGGCTTTCTATTGGTTATAAATGATATAGTATTAAACATAAGAGAGAACTATTAACAAATCCTGAAAGAGAGAATGTGACAGGTGGGTGTGGCAAGAGGGGTCTGATTTTCTACTTGATGCCTCTGTAACCAAACAAACTTTAAAGCTATAAAAATTATGGTTTGTCTGAATAATGGTGATTTTATAGTGAGTAATTTACCTTAAATTTCATACTTATTGGAGAGGTGGTGAATAAAATAGAGAAGAGGGATGCCTACAGAAAATGTGTCACCTTTCTCACACTAGGAGAAATTCTGGATTTTTTTAAATATTGCCTTATAAAATTAAGAACTTAAAATTTTATACTATTGAAATATGGGTTTTTTTGCTATGACATTGGTATAACAGAAACCAAATTTTGAATGTAAGCCACTAAAATCTCGTGATATATGTAGTAAATGATGCCCAGGCAGATAGGGTTAAGTCACAAATAAACTAAATAATAACTCCTAAACTAAACAGTCGTGTATATTCAACACCCACCGTCTGCTGGATGTCAGTTCGTGGCAGATTTGGTGTTGGTTGGGTTGGAAATGCATGCAAGTGGTGATGAATTTTGGTATGGGAGCTTGTCTTCCATAACAATTCCTGTTATTCTACCTACCATGGATCTGATGTACCATTCCAGATACCGCCTGGTTTTGGTTGAGGTTGAACTACCACTACGGTCTGTTGGGCCCTAGCCTCTCGACACCCTTCATGTTCACGACACTTTCACAAAAGAGATAAGAATATGTCTGGATCAGATATGTCTCCTGCTGAGGTGTGATGTTTTCTCTTTTGTTTCCACACCTCCTGGTCTCTCCTGGGGTGCTTTCTAAAGGGGAATCATAATTTTTGTCAGCCCTCCACCAGTTCATTGTGGGTTTCTAGCTATTTTGTGAAAGGAGGTAAAATATTGTATCAGAAGTTAGCATTTTCCTACACTGAAAATGTATTTCCAATATAAACTTACCTCCTCTCACATTTCCCACTTAGCCTCCCCACTTCCAATGATATATGGTTTAGGTATTCTGACCATTCTCAAAATGATTAATGAGAGCAGATGTGAAGAGGATGCTGGTTACAATAGGAGTGATATGAGTATGCAGAAGTAGGAGGTGGAAGGCTAGTTGCATGCATTGAAAATTTGTGCTGATAGAGGGATATGCTATTTTGTGAGATGAGGCAAGTCTCTATCGGAAATACATTTTCAGTGTAGGAAAATGCTAACTTATATTTCAGTTATTTTTCTGAAAACATAGAACAGTAAATAAAGAAGTATAGAAAACGATTATCTCTTCTAGTTATGAACTTTGTACTCCTTTGCTGCTTGCCGTAAGTTGCTAAGCCTTATGAAGGATATAAAACAAAATATTTTTTTTTAGGTTTTATTTATGTAATTTGAAATATAAAAAAAAATCATAAATTACTATATCAACACCACAGAATTCCACTATAATTTATCAAGCTTAGTAACTAAGCTGTATTTGAATCTAAAAAATATGATTTTTGGATCTCACTAATGTCTTATCTTACCTCTTCGAATCTAACCATGCAAATACTTTGCAGAGGCTGAGAAAACCACGAGGGGGACATTCAGAGCTTTTGATTGGTTATACACATGCCATTGGGTAAAGTAGATGTACGTAAACAAGTATTTTCAAAAATGGAAGAGGTGGGCTGGGCCACCTTGGTTGATTCAATAAACCTATTAATATCTCAGAAGAAAAATAATAGGAGGTTCTTATCTCATATTCTAGCTTGTCAATTTCAGTAATTTGTGTATCTGATTCATAAGAAACTATAGACTTTGTATTTGGACATCACAAACATCTAATTTGAACCAATGCTGCATGCAACATATCACGTGGCACACAAAAATTGACATTGGGGATTTTTTTTTAATATTTACATTTAAATTAATATATTAACTAATGTATGATACTAAAATTTGAATTATAGTCTACAGTTTGATACAAAACTTATGGACATACGTTCATAAAATAATAGTTCAATATAATTTTGAATGTGGAGTCTACAAACAAAATGACATGGCCTTTGACCCGTGACCATAGGAAGACCCGTGTTGGTAGGGTTAATAACTTTTTGTTTTCTCTCACCCTATCATCCTATAATCAAATTGACTTGTCTTTTCTAACCCTTACCAATGTGATTTTCTTTTAGCTAATCTTTTGTATGCCACCTTATTGAAAGCTTTTAGAAAATCTAAATACATCAAGTTCACACACTTTCCATCAATCAGATAATACAATGTAATGGGCACTATCAAACAACAATTACCAGGTTACAAATACTATTTATCTAAAGTATCAGGATATGCAGTCAATGGCATTCTCACACAGATCACTAACTTGGAGATTTATGTGATAATAAGGAACAAAGGCAGAGGCTTTATGTGCTAACAAATATAGAAAATTTATTTATTTATATACTGTTCACAATCATACAGACATTTTTGTAGTTGCTCTACGCTTCAAAGTAATTAACACATCTGCAAAACTGTAACTTACAAAAATCCTTAAGTTTATAAGTAAAATAGAATACAAATTATGAAGGAGCTGAGACTTGTTTCATGTTCATCTGACTTCCATTCTGCCCTGGGAGTCTACCCTAGAGAGTTAAGTGTACAGTTGAGTCCACCCTCTTTCTAACTGTAATTTTACACCAACTTTTAAAAAGCTTTTGTTGCTATATGTTCTAAATCAGTAGTATGCAACTACACAGGCAATACTCACTAAAGACAATTAATGGTCACCAGCTCTATACAGAGAAATGTTTGTCGCATAAAGATTGGATCAGCTCAAGGTCAGTGGCATCTGGTCATAGGAGAACTTTGAGTGGAAGTCTACCCTCCATGAGGTCATCAGCATTACAGTTCTAACTTTCTTAAAATTTGTGCCTTAATATTGTTTCATTACTGACCAAGTTTTAATGGCTTTTCATTTATCTCACTGACAGGATAGGATACAATTTCGATTCTTCCCAGTGATTTGATACTTTTTTTCTGTATCCTCGAGTTTTTTATTTCTTGTTAACCTCAGATTTATTGGGTATTTATTTTACAGATTGAGATTCTGTAACCAGCTCTTTAAATTCAATAGTGTAAGTCATAAAATTAATGAAATACTTCTTGGAACTTTTTATTTTTATAAATTTAAATTATGTTTTATTGTTTCCTTCAGTTAAAAGAAAAAGAAGCTATTCATCTTCAAACTCTGACCTCAGAGTGGAAGCGCCGAGATACTGAAAGGGAAGTTATAGTTCAAAAACGAGTAAGTTAGCTTGATTAATAAAAAAGTGAATTCTGATAAAAACGTAATGAAATGTAGAGAACAAATAATAATAAATGTACAGAAAGATCAGTAATATAAAGTTAGAAGAAAAAAAAAGATACATATTATTATAAAAGTAGAGTGATTGTATATCTTTTCTTAATTACTTACAGGTAATTTGATGTATATATATATATTCAATATTTTTTCAAAATATTTAGTCAAAATCTGCAAGCTTTGTATACATGGGTTTGTAAACATTGTTCCTTTTGACAATCCTATTGTATCGAAGATACAAAACTAATAATCAAAAAGTCACAATTGTCAGTAATTTCTGATCAAAGCAAGTTACCAACATGGAAGAAAATTTAAAATTTACCCAATAATTAATATAATTAATTTAATGCACCATTCTCACCAGAGGTATGCTAAAACAAAAACTTTTATTGATTAAAATGCATGTTTCACCAGTTGGGTACCCCTGATATTTCTGGCCATAATCCCAGTAACATCTCATGAGGTTTGACAATTTTAGCTTAGTCCTATATTCAGGTCCCCCTGTGGGATAGCAGTAAGTCTACGGACTTACAATGCTAAAATCTGGGGTTCGATTCCCTGCAGTGAACACAGCAGATAAGTTTATTTGACTTTGTTCTAAAACAAACCAACAACAATCTAAATCCAGATACTAATAAGTTAATAAATATTAGCAATTTCTCTTTATAAAACCCATTAACTAACTTTCATAGTGGTTAAAAATACATTTGTACTTAATATGTGAGTGATATATTAAATAAATAAAAATATTCTTTTATGTATTGGATAATTATAGATTTCATGTAGGGTTACTGAATTTTATATGCACTTAAGTATTTTATATAAAAGTTATTTCTGTGTTTACTGTCTTTGTTTTACACTTTTAACAGTATGTTAACATAAATTTAAATTATTTGTAAAAAAATGTTTCTTACATATTTAAGTTATGTTTTTAGAAACTATTATATTTTATGTAATTTTGATAATAAATTTCTTTATTTTATTTTTTAACAATTTATATCTATAGGTTCAAGAATGTAAGGAATTAGAAAATAAGTTAAAAAAGGCTCTAGCAGATATTGAAATTAGAGAACGACAGCTGGTTGCAAAGGAGAATGAGGTAAAAATGTTTATTTTTATTTCTTACGTATAAGGTAGCTTGGATTAAATATTGAAGTTTTGTGTTACTTGTACATGAAGGTGCATTGTTACAAAATTTCCACTCAAATTTCATAATCAAGTGAAAAGAATTTTTCATACTTTTTTAAAACATATTTTTCCACCATTATTCAAAGATGTAGAATTAGCATTACTACTACTACTACTACTACTACTACTGTGTAGGTGGTGCCTTGTATAGTAAGTGAAGCAGTGTTCAAAAAGAAATTAACAACCATTATAAAAACAAAAAACTTCTGTTGTCCCGGATGAGACATGATTTGCATTCATTGGTACTTTTTATTGCAGTTTTGTTTACATATTACCTTCATTCCAAAATCGACTAATGTTTTTTCTGTATTCCTTAGCTTGTTTATAAAAAATCTTCCTGGCAACGTTGGAGGGAGCAGATAGAACAGGAAACAAAGGAAGCAATTAGACGGACAAAAGTTGAATGTGATCATCTAGCAAACCTAGAAAAGTAAGACACTTATAAAAATACAATGAAGGAAGCAGAACATTTTATGCATACTTCTAATTTATATTGTAAATTGGTGTAATGTTATTTGATGCAAAATAAGAAATTAAGATGAGTGAAATTTTTCTTTTTTTCACTCATAGATACTAATTAGTGTTTAAAAAACCACAGTATTTTTAAAATGTTCATGCAGAATGTACAGATACAGTATCATAAACTCACAGGTACAGTTTATTCCACTCACCATTAAAATTAGGCTTGATCATTATTGTTATGCCATTAGTGATTGAAAATTATTATATTTATTGATAATAAAGAAATGATGAGTATTTATACATGTTATACACCAATTTGTGGATGAGATGTTATCAATAACAATATTTAAGATAAACTTCACATTTGTAGTACAAAAATACTACATATATTAGTTATATTACTCTCTAATAATATGTATTTCTTATCTATAAAATTATTCAGTTTTTCTAAGTTCTAATTTTGGAACACTAAAATCAGAAGAGTTAATATGCTAAATTTAACCTGAGGTGCTACTTATCTGCTGCCCCCCAGTGGCAGAGCGGTATGTCTGCGGACTTACAACGCTAAAAACCGGGTTTCAATACCCGTGGTGAGCAGAGCACAGATAGCCCTTGTGTAGCTTTGTGCATAACAAACAAACTTATCTGCTTTTTCATGGTGTAGCTTAATTTTGTCCTCTTTGACCTTGTGTTTGAAGAACACCTTTTGGCTATCACATGGAGCAAAGATTGTTCCACATTCTGTTGTCCATTTGTCTGGTTGGTCAGCTGCAGAGAGAAGTCATAGTGTGCATGAAGATTTAGAATTTTCAGAGTAACTCTTCTGTTTTTGCTGTAAACAAAGCATTATTTTTCATTTCAACTTAGCACCATGTGCTGTCTCTTTCATTCTGTCTTCAACAAATAACTATACCTGTCATTCTGCTAATTAGATCTACAAATTTCTTCTTTTTCCAGAGATTGAGTATCCGTGGGCGTGAATTATTTATCATACACTTAATATAAGCTGAAGTACTAGTACAGCTTTAGATATCTGTTAGTATTTTTTTTGCCAGCTGTTTATCCACTTATGGTAACAGATGATTTTTATCCTTATCAATACAGTACTGATTAAATTTTCTCTCTGTCAGTATCTGCCAAAGGTGGTCAGTAATCATCTTCTGTTCTTAGCCACTGTCTCACAAGTTAATTGCAGGTCTGAGATCATACAATGAAATTTCTGAGCCTAACTATACAGTTCTCATTAAACAGTATCTTTTCAGCCATCATAGAACATCTGGATTTTGTCTTGAGCCTGTTTTGTACAGATAAGGATCTTTCACAATGAATGCTTGTACACAGAAGCATAAAGTTATTGACACAATTTTAACATGTTAGGAAATTCATCACCATGCAGTTTAATAACTTTTTTACATAAATGTTCAGTCTTTGACTTTTTATATGTGCCTTTCAATATGCCTTTAAACCTAGGCAATTCATTTTGTACCTAATCATTTTTGTTAAGCATAGCATCATTAGTTTCAGTGTTTTTCCCAGCATCATTTGAAATTTTGGTGAGTTTATTGGCTCCATAGAAACCTGCAAGGTAAAATATAATATTGTTAGTATTAAAAAAAAACAAAAAAAACTTAATGCTGATTTAGGAGGTTCTAGAGATTATGCAAATAAAATAAGAATGAGTTACCCCATAATGAAATTCATATTTCATGCAAATACCTTATTAAAAAAAGCAACTTCCTTTTTATGTTTGCTAAAAGATTATCAATTTTCATGAAGGTACACATAATAAATTCAGAATTATAGTAATTGTTAATTCTCCAATATGTGCTTGATTCATTGTGTGAGCAACACTACTAATGGCAGATGTGATACAGTTGCTTTTAGGCTTACAGTTGAGTAGAGGCTGTAAAACCAGTCTAAAACAAAGGGAAATTACCAAGAAACAGCTTAAGTAAAACAAACACAGAATGGAGAAAATAATCAAATTTGCAAAGTATCAAAAATATTGATAGTTGAGGGTACTATTGGTGATTGTTATCAATTCTAAAATTTACCATTGATGCATTACTGTTGGAACATTCTATGTCGCAATCTATCGATAGTTTGATGTGTCATTACACTCCTAGTTTTGGTTTGCTTTCTTTTTTAAGCATGATGCAAGTGTCTTTGTGGAGAAATAGCCGTTTTCCCTGTGTGCAACCAGTAGACACACCGATTTCTGTTGTAGCATATTGATGATAGTACATCTGTAACTGATTCATGTAAAATAAAAAATGACATATCTGTCAAAAAAATATGTCCACTGGTAGCTCTCTGTGGCTCTAGGTAATACATCTATGATGTTGATAACAAGCAGTAAAACCAATCTCAGTTACACTTTTTCTCTCTTTTATCATCACTGTACTAAGTAAAAACAGAACTACTAACCCAGAAAATAGTTTTAATACAATAAACATATTTTATGTGGACCTGGTAGCTCTCTGTGGCACTAGGTAATACATCTATGATGTTGATAACAAGCAGTAAAACCAATTTCAGTTACACTTTTTCTCTCTTTTATCATCACTGTACTATGTAAAAACAGAACTACTAACCCAGAAAATAGTTTTAATACAATAAACATTTAAGAAGTGTTCTAGTGTAAAAAGTGGAAAAATTTATTTCTGGTGTATGTAGGTCTTTGTAGATATAGAGTGAGCCTAGGGAAAAAAAAAAGAAATTACAAATTCTATATTCCCTGTTTGACCAAATGGAAATTTTTGATAAACAAATTGATTTTATGTAGTTTGTTTATTAGTATAAATACCTACACCCCATTTCCTTCTAAAATAGTACTTAAGGCTATTAAGCTGTAGTGAGCTCATTTATTTTTTTTAGTATTTAGATTATAAAATGATAAAGTTCTGATTTGTAAATTATTTATTAGTACATAAAATACACAAAGAATGTAGAGAAACCTATTTAAAATACAAATGTCATGGCTGGCAAACATGGAACCTGTGTTCAATTACTCATCAAAATGTATAGCTATATCAGTAAACAATTTGTTTACAATGATGTTTTGTGGCAAACAGTTGTGACATGAAGCAAATAAAGAAAGAGACTGAAAAAACATATTTTCAAAGGTAATATTCTTTAATAGAAGTTCAAAGTTATTAAAGGGAAATGGCCATTGTGACAGATTTTCACAATACACAGCAAAAATTTGTGATTATCTTACGTATGATTCCAAATATTACAAACTTCAATGTTTTGGAGTTGACAAAACTTTGGTTTAAATTAGCTTCCATTTATTATTTATTTGTAGCATTTATTAAGTATAAATTGTTTATGGTATTAGAAAATTTTCATGCTACTTTTATTTCTTTTGTTACAGTATATTTCAGTTATATAACTTAAAGACAAAATAAGTGCTGCCAAATTCTGAAACGGTGCACATAACATTTAGTAAGCAATTGTTATGATATTTAATACAAATTCATATAAAAACAGTCTCAAAGATAAATATATTAAAATTCAGCTCAACAAAATAAGTGTATGTTATACATCATTATAGAAGTGGACAGTTCTCTTGGTACAGGTATTCAAAAAATGTCTACCTCATATTTATATTAAATCCTTATAGGTGAGTTCTTACATTGAAGGTAAAAAAAAAAAACTTAACTATATTAACATGATATCATTATATATGTATTTGTTTATACATTTTCAGATGTTTTAATTATTAACTTTTTTCTTTTCCCAGAAAAAAAGTTCAAGATTTGCTTCAACAGAGAAAGAAACTTGAGCAACAGGTTAGCTATTTTAAGCTCTCACTACCGAAAGATGCTTTTCTTTTTCAGTTAATTTTAAACATTATTCAATATCATTATTATATTAGAAGCATGCTTCAGTAGTTATTTTAAAACGTTTTATATTTTAATCTCTAAACACCTGATCAAAAGTAATTTATAATTATAACCTTAATGTTGCTCAACTGGCCTTATTTGATCATTTGACCTTCAAGTGATCATTTGTACTTTAGCATAAACATTACTAACTATATTAAAACACTGTATACAAGTTAGTTATGGTTAATTCCTAAACGTTCTGAATTATCAAGTAAGCATTTCATTAAACAAAAGTTTTTTGAAACATTCTGTTAATTTTGCTTTGCACACTGTTGAGTTTGAATTACAACAATTGCCCAGAAGTAAGTAATTATATATTAGTAGATGTATTGTATAGAAAGGCTTTTAGCTGAAATTAAAAACATACACAATTAAGTAGAGTTTTGTAAGAAATAAAATAAATTTAAATATATTTAGAAAGATTTTCTGGATAAATTTAGAAGGGTTTTAAGTATCGGGAAATGTTTGTTTCATACAAAGATGCTTGATGTGTCATCCTCTTGCAAAAGTGCAAAATTGTATGTGTTAACAATAAGAAGAAGCTTGGAAAAATGTTTATAGTTAAAACAATTAGTGTTTAAACTTTTCTTTAAACTGTGACAATGCTGGAACAAGCCTGAGTTTACTTTTATTCAAAAGTTGAACCCTCTCACCACAGGCAGATCAAATTGCACATGTCACGACTTTTTAGAGTTATGTTCAAAATTTAATTAAACTACTTTATTATCATGGTATACAAATAAGCTTGCCATCAAAACATAGTTGATAAATCAGCTTTTAGTATTATATAAGTTTTAAGCTCTTAATTTTATAAGTAAACATAAAAAAAAATCCTCAGTCTCTCCTAATATGAGAATTGTGACATTTGCTCTGTAGGTTTTCCGTGTTTTCTTTATCTTATTTACCACTCTTCCAAGGAATACAGAATTTAACATAAATTACTCATTATAATGTAGTTAGTATTCAAGCAAAACATAATCTTTATAACCTTCAATCTTGTTTGTTTAAGGTGCTATAAACTAGAAAATGAGACCTACTTGCCATATCCACCTATCATATTCTCTCTTTCACAAATTGTCAATAGTTCTCTCTGTTATTTACAACCAATAGTAAGCTGAATATTTAATCTGTCAAATGATGTTTATATTACATTGTTGTTGTTTTTTACAGAGAATTGTCTATTTTATTCCCACAGGAAAGACATTGATGAGCTCAGCTGAAATTTTAACAGCTTTTATTGCATAGTTAAAAAGCCAGAAAAATTATGATAGTAATTGGACATTATTTGCTTTTTACATGTCACTATCTTGTGTTCTTAGGTACATTATTTAATTAAATAGAAAATTCTTTAGTGTAGTTGTAGCATTGGCATAGGTAAGGGCTATATTTCTTGTTTTCATCTGTGTTCTTTATTTATTATTATAAAAGTAACAAAAATGTAAAAATTAGAAACTTATTAGTTAGATAAGGTTAGATTAAGTAAGATAAAGAAAAAATAATAATAATAAATGGAACCAATTTCATGGAACCAATTATTCCTTTAATACTGGGAGTTTTGATGAAAAGAGTTCCGTTTTGAAGTGTGTACATCAATTGCATCAATTCTAGTTCAATAATAAGAAAATAATTTTTTTACGAAATATTTGAAAAATACCAGGGGTATGTATAGCCATGTTAGTTTGACGAAAATATGGTTTTTTTTAACATGCAAGAAAGTGTGTATTTTTAACCAAAATTGAGTGTGAAATCTCCAATTTTCTTCATTTCTTAGAAACACTCAAGAATGAAACACTATGGCTTTAATATAAAATATTATATCACTTCTAAAGCTAAAAAAAGCAAATTTTTCTTATCCAAAATAGAAATAAAGTTAAAGATATACTAAATTTGAAAAGTGATAGTAATATCCTTCTAGACTTCATAATTTTGAATGAAACTTCCTTTAATTAACCCTCTCAACATAGGGTCAGTCAATTTGACCAAGTCACTTGACCTTTTGTTCTCGTTTAAAGTCTTTATAAATGTAATACTTATAACTCAATATATTGGGTATATCTTCACTAAATTTGTCAGTCTTTCAGTTAATATTACAAG